ATGCATTTATGCCGGCTAAATCTGTATACAGTTTGTGCGTATATGTTGAAAATCACATGCGTTTGTTTGATGGTTGATAGCTCTCAAGAGACTGTATAATGAGTTTCCCCACATATCAAAATGTGAATGTAGAATCTATATGATACAAGTTTGCAATATGCTGCCACAATGAATGTTTAAATCTTCACAAATGCAATGAAATATACTCAGTCCATATGGCACAGCACATAAGGCTCCACATTAGTGTAAATCTGTCTTTGAATTCTAGACAGATGCCCCTACTACAGCCCTGCTGAATCATGCATTGCCAATGCTTCACAAACTTGCTATTAGCTAAATCTATATCCTACTGTTCAACAACTAGACCAGGAGTTAATGATACCCCAGTTTGTGCCAGCATAATTCATAGTTACATAAGTTTGAACTTAATTCAATCCTCTGTTGGTACTCTTGTATACACCTCTCCAATTCGGAATGACAATGCACATATATTTGTACAATGCTAGCCTTGTAATTTAGAAGTAATTTGCTAGGTACCTTGTAGTTTTTATCCCAAGAATCGAGGTGTAACCAAGTGGTAAATACATTTGGACTAGCAAATTCTCTTGTTCGCAAGAAAATCTCAAACACTTGAGAAATTAAGAAATTACGGATGAGTGTGAAATTTCTACTTACAGGCAAAACATTGTCCTCCACCACTTCTTGCACATTGGAACTGCTTTCAGAAGCAGAGCTGAAAGAGGACAAAGTGCTGTTTGCCTCCTCACTTACCATCTCACATAGGTTAGAGATATATAATGTAACAATTCAAGCTTACTCATTCTGAATCTCTTTTGCTTGTTAACACCTTACCTCAATACTCTAGTTTTTGGACTCAAGCAAACTACAAACAAGAGGACAATAGGACATAAATTGGCTCACCATGTAGTGTAGCTACCAAAACCCCTCACATCCAAAAATGCCATTGCAACTAACATTCCTTGCATCTTAACCCTAACCCAAGACCCATCCCAGGTCTGGAACACATGAGGATGACTGAAGGATGTCATCAATGCATGTGGCACCATGCATGGGTTATATGGCTCATTATGGACCCATCTAAGACTTATTGATGTATATAAATAACTTGTATATCTGACATCCAATCAGGAATTGACTGCTGGGAATTGACTGCTGGCAACTGGTGGTGTGTGCATAGGTCGTGTGGTCAGTTGTCACGCAATTTACAAATTGCATGCCATTGACAGCAACAATTACCATCTCCAAGCATACAAAAGTTATTTTGTATGGCAACCATTTTGGGCTTATGTTCATTCCTTTGTTTGTGCAGGCTAGAACAATTCAATGGTATACTCGTTCAAGAGAATATGCTTGACTCAATGGCAGCTAGCGGCTTCATCCCACTTTGAGGCGCTGAGAAGTTCACCTCATATTGTGGACTTCATTGAGGAAGATTCTTGTTACTGTGTACATGTTGCGACCGAGTGGTATGCAATGCATGTTTTACATTCCTCCAGGTGCCCGCAAAGAGATGCAAAACGTTTCGAGTGTGGGGAGCTTCCCACTGGTCCTCGGTGGCGTATCAAAACACCTTTAATCAATGGCCCACGTGAAAAGGAGATATGTCACATGAGCAAATCCTCACGTACATCTCGAGCACCAAGGAGCTAAAGCTTTGGCCATTATATTTTATTCCGGATTGGATGGAGCTTCTTTCCTTATTCCATGCCGGATTGGTGTTTTATACTTTATTCCGGCCTGCCACTTTTTGTTCTCGTCTTGTGATTGGCCAATATCATATCATGAATATGGTACCATAGTCAAAAAAAGGAAAACGTCCTACGGGAAAAAGAACACGTTAAACGTATGATTGCATGAAACATCAAACCATTACATTTCTAATAATATTACATGCATTGCCAAGCAACTTCCGCTATTGCTTGGACAGCTTCAAACATGTGGAAGTTGTTGCTGCAACAGCATTAGCAATAGTGAAAACATAAGCTTCTTCAACTTCAAAAGATTGTTATAAGTCATTTATTGCACTGTGGTCCCATGCTTTCATGTATTAATATTTGAAGAATTGCATTACAAATTTGCACCATTGTGGTCTCATTCTTTCATTATTTCCCAATAGGAGGCATGACACCGTTTTTGTTTGAATGGCACCACTTGTTTGATGCTTCACTATGACAATGTAAACCCTCCAGTTGGTCGCGGCAACACCTTTGTTTGATGCTTCTGCTAAAATAACATATAAAAAGATAGATAAATACTCCACCCAGCTAGATATTTATGAACTATATATTATTCATTTAAAATAATTTAATCTTCAAATCTCTCCGAACACAAATAAAACATGGAAAGTAATGAGACTCAGCATGTTTTTGGGCCCAGTGAAGGGGGGAATTTACTACCCTACCTACTCTCTCCTCACTCCCGAATAGAAGCTCCGGACCATCCCTGCACGGAGAATGGCTAGCAAGTGTGACGCGGCAATGCAACGTGGGGTCTTATACTGATTCAGCGTTGCACCTTTGTCCAGAGCACTCTCTGCCAACTTGCGAAAAGTTCCCCTCTCCACTACGCAAAGCTCCAGGGGTCCAATCGTCTTGGCCGCACGGGACACAACATAACCGGGCTCCACAAATGCGCCATCCATGCAATCACAACACTCCTGCAATACCCTCTCAAAATCGTCACGCTTTTCTTGCGCCACCTTTGAAGATCCCTGGTTTCCTTTTCTCACGTGTGGCACGTCCACGTCCACGTCCAGCTCCACAAACACAACGTAGTGTCCCGGGCGGAACGACACGTCAGCATGGGCGGTATACTCCACCACCCCGACGCCTGTGCCGTGTAGTACCGCGGCGGACCGCTCCATCACCACGGCCAGCTCGGTCTCGCCGTTTTTGTCGATGTGGATGCTGAGCTGCACGTCCCGGCGGCAGACGAACTCGAACTGCGGCAGATCGTGGTAAAACCCACAGATGCGTACAACGTCGCCCACGCGGTACCTGTACAGCCCTGCTCACACGGCACAGGCATGCACAATACACTTGGTTATCATTCGAGACTCAATCAAAAAGGATTTACCGGACGAAGTTGTGATGGCGATCTCGTATTCTTGACCCACACGGACGTCTGCCATGCTCACTGGCGCTGCCACCTCCGTGAAAAGCGAGCTCGGCGGCACCACGGGACCATTGATCTCGTGGATCTTAGAAAACTTGCGCCGCTCCAGAGGAATGAACTCAAAGTAGGCAAGATCCGGGACGATGGTGAAGATGGTGTTGTGCGGGGACGAGAGAGGATCCATGTTGATCCCCATCCAGCTCTCGGAAGCGCCATAGTCACCGCAAACCAGCGCCAGGCCCGGCCCTGCGTAGAACCGCATCGCCTCGCAGTAGGACAACATTGTTCCGGTCATGATTGACAGGACGTAGCTCGTGTTCCTCCACAGTCTCGGGATGATTCCCTGGAAGCCACGGCTGCATTCCAATCGGATCTTGGCTGCTAGAGTTCCTCGATCGCGGTCGGGATGATCTTGGGTGAGCTGCTTCGAGGCCACGGTTTGGATTGCATGGTCTGTGATCCATTCGGGGAGTGTTCCAGACTCGATGCAATCGGCCAAGATTGACCAGGTCTTTTCCAGGAAGCGAAAGGCCTCGACGATTGTGTAGACGAAGGTGGAGGAGATTACGGCTATGTCGTCCGCGGCGAGGAGGGCGAAGAGCAGGTGGCAGTACGTTGCTTGGGGAAGGCTGGAGGAGAAGATCACCTCGTTTGGGCTAGAATTGAACATCTTTGTGGACTGCTGCTTGAGCTTGAAGGCTTCGCTGCGGAAATAGTTTGTGGTTCCGGTTCCCGTGAGAATTCCTCCTTTGGTCATTGTTTGCTTGCCACAGTAGACAATGTCCATGACTTTGGCATTCGAGCTCAGTGGGAAGTGCCTGACTTTTTCAGAGTGAATTCATGAGTGAGAGAATCCAGTTGACATGTCAATTATAGTACCTTCCTCGAAACGCTCCAGAGAGTTGGAACAATCGAATGGTGTTGAGAAAGAAGTCATAGTGCGCTGGGATGAGCTTTGTTCGTCCCTTGGCAGTCCCAGAGCTTAGGAAACAGTGTACTATCAGCACAGCTTTTAAGAAAAAAAAGGAAAAAATTACCTCAGGAAGAACATATCAACTGGCTTTTGGCAGAGAAGCGGCGACTGATCGCCATCGGCAATCTTTTGAATGTAGCCTTCGATGTCTGCATAGGTGATAAGCGGGAGACGCGCTTTAAAAGTCTCCAGATCAGTGCAGCCATTCAGCTTGTGCTCCTTGAGATAGTCAGCATCTGCATTCTGCACCAAGATCTGCTCGAGGAGCTCAGCCTGCACAGCATTACCATTCCTGGCCAGCTCCTCAAAGCCATAAGTAAGAGCGTCACTATGGGAGATCAATGGAATCCCTGGCATGATGGCAAGGAAAACACTGAGGCTTCTATTTTTTTCAGTAAGAAACTTTGATGCTGAAAAAAACCTCAAGAATGTGAAGTTGCTGTTCGAATGTGTTGTGTGTGTGAGCAGACTTCCAGAACTTGGCTTATTTATACTGGGCTGCTGAGTTAGTTTGTCCTCCCTAAGATGCAAATGATTACTTGGGGAAGTCTGGCCATTCTTTCACCTTCCTTTCAAAAGTTGGTGTACAAAAACCCAATAAGGTCGGCCACTTAGCTGAACTTGTCAAGAATGGAGGAAGTTTAAACTGTAGATATATAATCCTCCTCTGTTCATCTTCGACTCTGGTGGACATTTCTTTCTTGACAACTGGTTTGTTTACGGTCCACTTTCTTATAGGGATCTAGCAAAAGAAAACAAATAGAAAAATACAAAAATAAAAACACTGTACCACTAGCCCTGCAGGATCAAACGAGCTGATATGCTTGCTGGTTGTACGTCTCTCTATTATATGTTGAATATGTCTCTCTATTCTATAGGCTGTTCAGTGGCATTCATTGAAATTGACTATGATATTCAACTGAATACCTGCTACAATTGATACAGATTGAGCTGTACAGGAGACACAAAGACGATGCAAACGTAACAGGTACGTCACTCTTGGTCCCTCAAATAATCTTCAATCTCAATACAGGGCCACACACCGATAAATCAGGAAATATCATCCATTCTGTCAAAACAAAACAAAAAAAAAGGCTGCACAACTTACCAAATTTCTTGGAGACAGCGAAAGCAATGCCTAGCTTTTGACGTTTGCCGTTTGCGGTATTTCGAGATGCATTAGAAAATCTTGGAGGTGGACTCGCGAAAGATTACGTGAAAGGATAGAAATTTACGAAGAGCAATGTTCCAACCAGGGTGTAAGAAAGAAACACCCACCATCCAATCCATTGCCTACGAAAGGATGCCGAGAACCAATATATAACTGGACTGCAAGAGAGAAAGCGGGTCGACACCTGCAGAATCCCGATTCCAAGTTTTGAGGAGCTAAAAAAACAAGTATAGCGAATACCTGGACGTGCATTACCAAGAATGCAACAAGGGTCATAACCAAGAGCTCAAAAACAAAAGGAACGCTTGCCACTGCGTAAAATCCCGTCGCTTCTTTCTTCACTCTCGGAGCTACAGATTCGATGACATTAGGAAAGTCCAAAAACAGTGTTGCTTACGTTTTGAGTGATCTGGAAGAAGGGCGGCCTTTCTTTTCTGCCAAGAAGGTGCTGCGAGACCCAGAGAATAAAACAATTTGGGCTGCGCTCTGGCGTATGTGACAATGGCAGAGCTTGCTAGAAGCAGTGCCGGCGACGCAGACAGAAAGTTCGGGATTTGTTTGAGCTGGAAATACCGTAGGAATCCAACGTCCCTGGCACAGCAGACAATTATAAAAACCATGCCAAGAGAAGCAGATCTTACCAGTAGTGATCTTGAACGAATCCATACAAGTACGGTATGGTTGCCTTGCACCAAGGCCTCTGCTGCTTGGAATCGTTGAAACACATCTCAAAGTAGCCATAAGCCTGAAAAACAACGAAGGGTGCTACCACAAGGGAAGCTTGAAGTCCGCACTGGATGATGACAAAGAGAGATCCTGCAAGCTTATGATAGAAACAATCAAAATTCGAGCACGCGGGAAAGAAACGAAAAGCCAACTTTCTCACCAGCGGCCTTTTCATGTGGAAGACTTTGTTGTGGTAAACCAAGTGAAGGCACTGGAACAAGAAGAATCCCGCATGAACAATGCCATTCGAACGCGCAATGCTGGAGAAGCCAAACAAGATCGCAGACTTCCATCTGGCTCCACTTACGAGATACCACATTCCCGCAAAGGATAGTAGAGCAAATAAGCTTTCAGTATATCTGCGTCACAGAAACGAACGTCGATTGCTAGTTGGAACATCTTGAAAGGTTACCAACTTACAAGGATGAGTAGAAAACCGATGCCGGATTAAAGCAGAAAAATGCCGTCGCCAGGAAAGCCATTCTCTCTCGTTCTAGAACGTACAAACTCAGCCTAGCAAAGAAGGAAAGAACAAATATCGATCAGAAGACTAGAAGATGAATGGAAGAGTAAAAACATACCTATATAAGTAGAGAGCTGCCAATACGAAAGCCATGACGTTTATGACATAGCCAGACAAGGCGAGCGTTTCATCATAGCCAAAAACTGGAACAAAGCCTCTTAAAGCTGGAAGAACAGGAACATCAGTCATGGAACAAAAGAAAAAAAATTCATGTAAGCATTTACCAGTGTTGGAGAGAAAACGCATGAGAAGGGGAAGGAGAGGCTGGAACGCGTGCATTTGCTCGTACTCGTAGCCACAGCGAGCAATCCGCAAGTAGTACACGCCGTCCCACACAACGCTTCTGAGAAGCGTAGAATTCGAGATCCCCCCTCGATCAAAACCATGATCATCCCGCGAGAGACAGGGCAAATCCAATGCTGCCGAGGAATCATAGGGCGATCCAAGCCACGCCCAGGCCAGCATTGCGAGCAGAACGATGCCGCGGGAGGCCAGCGCCATGGCCAGCACTCCCCCCTCTCCCCGCATTGCCCAAGAACCCTAAGATAGAGATTTAGGGTTCTTCAAAATGTAGGGTTTAAGGCGATGGAGCGGTGGAACGCGGAGGAGCACGTCAGGCGCTTCTGGGAATCCATCCCGATCGCGACTACAACCCGGTGCGTGTGTCTTGTCCCAAGGGAATCCATCACGCCTTCGATCAAAGTCTCCACACCGCCAGAAGCACAGCTCGAGCGAGTCCACATAGAGCTCGACACGGTGACGCTCAAGCCAGGGGTTTCTTTTCTCCAGTCCAAGAGAAACAAGCTGCTAGTCCGGAGCGTTTACCGCGAATTCGCCTCTCTGGTGATCGACATTCTCTCCGGTAGAGTGAAGTCTCGCAGAGGCGATAGCTCGATCGATCACTTGATCATCGGGGGATCGCCAGGCACGGGAATGACGTCCTTTGGCTACTACTTGCTCACACAGCTGAGGATCCATCCGGATTTCGCGAACAGGCAGGTGATCTGGGAAGAATCCTGCGAGAGTTCTTCCGGTTTGAGCTATTTCTTTCGAGGCAGCCAAGTTGTGGAAGGGGTCGTGGGGTCATTCGATTCTCAGCGAACGCAAGACACCGTCTATCTCTGCAATGCTCCTCTCCTTCGACCGCAGCACGCCTTCAGCCACGCGATCGTCTTCTCCTCCGGCTGGGACGAAGTCAAGTATTCAAGGAAGTTCGCGAGAGAGAATGGCAACGCGATGATCGTTTGCATGCCGCCGTGGGACGTCTGCGAGCTCGCGGTGCTGTACGCCTCCGCTGGATTGCTGAACAGCCCTGGAGATTTCACCGCGGTCGAGCAGCTGTTTGGTTTCTGGGGTGGATCCCCTCGAGCGGTGCTGGACAGAGCCGATGATCCGGACTGGTTGTGCCAGTTCCAGGCTGCTTTGCTCGAGGCCAGGAAGGAGAAGCGTTTGGACATCGCTGGAGCTTTGAGACGAGACCCGGAACGTTTCAGCCATATCTTCCATCTCGAGCCTTTGGATCCGGAGTACAAGGTGGCGACCGTGGTTTGTGCGTCCGCGCACGTAGAGAAGACGCTGGGGATCGGTGCCGAGGGTGAGCCGTATGAAGATCAGATGGATTACATCAAGGACAACAAGCTCATCTCGGACAACGCTGCTATTGTCGGCCGGAAGTTTGCGTACCTCGTGCATTGCCTCCTGGCGTCGCGGGATGTGAAGAAGCTCCAGTTTCGTTCCAGGCGATTGGATCCGGGTGCTGTGGCTGGCTTGGAGAGTTTCGACTTTGGTGGCAACGTTGTGCTCTTCCGGAAGGCTGGAGATATCATCGCGGGGAAGTCGGGATACTTCGTGGCCGAGGATTGTCCAGGCTCGCCGAGTTCTTGCTACGATGCGGTGGGAGTGCTTCGTGATGGATCTGCGGTGATGTTTCGGATAACCCGGAGAGCTAGGCACGATGCGCTGCTGCAGCACGTCCAAGATGCAGTGGTGAAGTTTGGGAGGAACACTCGATTCGTGTATTTGGTTCCGGATGAGATGTTTGACGAGTATCCAATGCAGAGGCTGGTGTGGGGACAGGTGCAGATGGAATGGCCGTGCCAAGTGAGCGTTGTGGGGATTTCAGCCGATTTTCCTCTTCTAATTTTGCGGTTCTTGCAATTTTCAAAGCTTGAAAGATTACCCATAAAAGTTTGCAAAAAGTATTGTTAATTTTTTTCAATTTTAAAATAAATCTTAATACTATATTTTTTGATACTGGTTAGAGATCGCACTCGCCTGTAATATCGCATTATGTTTTTAAAAGATCGCTTGTCCACTTGGACGAGATTTCTTAGAAGAAACCTTAATCCATTATACCAGTATATACTAGCATTCTTCGCGCCTACCAAAGTACAAAAGGGGGAAGAAGAGGAGGTTCTCTAGATCGATCAATCCATACCTTGTCCGCTCGGAAATCAAGTGGTAGCACATCCAGCCTCAACGCCGCCTGGATTCAATTTCTGGATCTTCAAGAGCTTGCTCAAAAGTCGCTGATCACAGGAAGAAGAACTTTGCTCGAGCTTGGCGACGTATGCAGGGTATTCCTACAAAAACACACAGAGCTTTGAGTTTCCAGGGCTCTAGAAAGTGTAGCAAAGCCAGAAACTCTTACTCTATGAGAAGCAGCTTCTGCAGGAAGATCAAGCTTGGCCTGGTCGTAAACATCCAGCAGCTCATGAAGCCTGTGAGAAGGTGGTGGAAAAAACTTGCCATGAAATCGACTGAAAACGCTTACCATGGAAATCGACTGTATTCGCCACTGTAGAGTTGGCTGATGGTTGGACAGGGAACACGAAAGGGAGTTCCAAACCTGAGAAAAACATAAAAACGCATGAAAAAAGAAGAAGAGAGATTGGAAAGCTTTTACTCCGGGATCTTCTTGCTTCGTTTGGCACCGGGTATGATACACTGCTCCACGGGCTCGGTGTGGTCGGGAAGAATGGGCCAGACCCGATCGTTTGCACTGTAAGGCGAAGCACAGACGTGGAGCTCGTAAGTGATGAGCAGGCTCATCTTCCTCCAAGAGTTTTCGTCCCGCGCCAGAGCTTGGTAGAAACGCTGGCTCCCCGTCACAAACACAACGCTGGTGCTAAAGCACGGCCCTTCGGGAAGAGTGGTGAGGCAAGACGCGTGCATGAACACTTCCATCGCATCCAGCAGCTCCTCGTCGCCCAGCTCCTCTTCCCCAAATCCAAGAGCGCGAAGAAAGTATGGAGCCTTGCGGGTTATGGCATTGGACCCACACATTGCTTCCCAGATCCCCCATCCCAGCATCTCCTCCTGCCTGCCCAGTTTGTGATTGCCGAGGCAGTAGAGGGCGGTCGATGATTTCTTCTTGTCCGCCCAGGCGCCCAATTCCTGCGTCTGCGGATGATTGATGAGATCTTGGGCCAGGCGATCGCATACGTAGATGTTCTGCAGCGCACCCAGCGCCTTCTCCCTCTCCATCATCAAAGCCATCCTCTTCTTCCACGCCAAAGCCCTCTCCGCCTTCGTGTCCATAGCACACTAATTTCTCAAAACCTAGATTGTTCATAATTAATAGCTACTTTATTAACTTTGCGGATAATTTAATTTAAACACAAAAAGGTTCCCTCCAAACGGTTCATGGGTTTAGGGCTTTACTTGTCGAGCACCACTTCTCTCCGGCGCAATGCACATCAATCTTTCGCGAAAAAGAATGGAAGGAGTGACGAATCGAGATATCGAGACCCTGGAGGAAGAGGTATTCCGAGATTTCCTTGATTTTGATCTTTGTGACGATTTTCCCTCGGATCGGGAAGAACTCGACCCGATCTAGCGATAAAGAAGAATGCGGCATCGGAAATCCCCGGCGCAGCCCTGAAGTCGCCGCCTTTCAGACAAGGGTAAGCGATTGATTCTTCTTTACTACCATAGCCAATCATCCCCACGGCAGCTGGTTCTTTCGGAAAGAATGCACCTTGCGGCGCATCAATCTTTCGTCGCTGGAATGGGAGAAAGCATGAGCCATCTCACAGCGCTGGAAGAAGAGGTATTTAGAGAGTTGTGTGACGCTTTTCCCTCCGGAAGGCCCGATCTAGAGATGAAAACGACATTGGAAATCCCCAGAACAACGCTGACGTTGTTCCAGCTCTTTCCGGTGCTCGGGGTGAGTTTTCCTGCAAGTTTTCGGATTTGAGAACGGATATCTAATTCCATGGAAAGAAGGCCACGAGGATCTGACGGATACCAGGATCGACCATGCCTTTGAGCTAAGTCTTGCTTTCTTGGATAGATGCGATCCTTTCCGGAAACTCTTAGATTCAGGTGATGTCTATTGTAGTTCTGCAACACTGACACAACTAGACCACTTCTTTTCAGGTACTTCCTTTGCTAGATGCTCTTCTTGGGACGAAATGGGAGTCTTATATCCAGGAGATGCTGTAAGTTGTCTCATTTTACTTTCTAGCAGCGTGCTTCATGCTAAGTGGCATTTTGAACCTTCTTGTTCTTGCGACGATCGACATTTATCGTCCTATCCAACATAAGGAGCAACTGCCTACGCCACCAGAGTGGCTAATCTGTGACGAGAACCGCAAGTACGTTCAAAACAGGATTGAGTCTCGTTTGCAGCTCAAATGCGACTACGTTTTTGGCTATGATGATGCCGATTCCATCCGAAACGTAATGTTTGGCGAAATGGATACGACAAACTTTCCGAAGAGGTATGTATGCATTGCAATCTTTGTTGGCATTCCGCATTCCGGTTAAGCAACTCTTTCACAGGTATGAAGAAATATATGATGCATCAATTATGGAGGAGCAACTCGCTGAGTTCAACTCTCAAACAAGAAATCCTCTTGACTTGGTTCTTTTCGCGTATGCTGCCCAGCACATCAGTCAAATTCTTCGACAACCTTATGGAAATGCTTTGCTAGTAGGAGTGGAAGGAGTAGGCCGCCAATCTCTCACTAAACTGGCCACGTCCATGGCGAGTTATATGCTGTTCCAGATACAAATGAGCAGCTCTATGGAATGGATAGAGGACCTGAAGGTTTGTCTCTTTTCTCTGTCTTTCTTGCTTCCTTTTTCCTTTGTGTTGAGTGAATGAACGTTGCAGGAAGAAGTCTGAAGGTGATAATGCTACTGTTTTCGTCTTCAGAGATCAGAAGGACGCCGAAGGAACTTGTGAATCAGAGCTGACTGTGGTAAGTATCCATCGCGATTGCTAGGCTCTCCCAATACTGGAAGCTGCTCTCTGTGCGTTGGACACTCACAAATATTACAGAAGTCAAAGATCCACCGGCGTATGTGAACATAGCCTGTTGCTTGCAGGTAAGAGTCCATGTACTTTTACTTTTACATACTGAACTAAGAAGACTTTGACAGGTTAAGTCAAGGAGAATATCTGACCGGGAAAGAAAATCGAGGACTATTGAGGTCTTGCTCAACAGACACTTGCAGTTACGACCAAACTTCCATCACTGAATGAGTATGACAAAAATAAGGTAATAATTGATGAGATATGGTGAGCAACGGAAGCTACGATAAAGTGGCCAAGTTTCGTCAAGGATCACATTTGCAAGCTTCTTTTCTCATTGCTTCTCTTTCATACAGGTTGTTGCACCAAAGCGGACGAAGCTACAAGAAGCCACGGATGAGTTTCAAATAGCAAAGAAGGAAATGTTGAGGCACATAGAGAAACTCGGAAAGATTCAGAAACAGCTTGACCTGATGGAAACTAATAAGGTGCAGCTAGAATCGGACGTTCAAGACTGTCGGAAGGTGAGAGGCGTGATTTTACTCCTCATGATTTTACTCTTCATGCTGGAAATGTCCAAGGCGAAGACCAAGCAAAATTTAGATAGTCAACAAAGGCGAAGACTAAGCAAGATTAGCAATAGTAGGCTGCTTACTTTGGAGCTGTGAAGCTAGCTTATTGGGAGAGACTACTTGATACCTGGCTAAAGATGTGCAAGGAAAAGGACATCCCTTGTTGTAGGACCTTCAAGCTGATCACAGTTCTGGGCAATCCTGTAGACTTGATACTGAATGACGGGTTTTCTATTAGACAACAGCATCATTAACAAGAGGTGGTCGCTTTGGATTGATCCTCGAGGACAAGTAAAGAAGTGGATAAAGGTACAATATTTGTTTCAAAAACTTATTTGTTTTGACTAAGGTGGATTTCAACAGCAGGTGTCTGTCAAGCTGCTCTTCTTCACTAGATGTGATTATTCCTAGGATGAACTGGGAGTCTTATATCCAGGTGATCTCTATGTTCTATTCTCTATTGCATTGAGTAATTCAGCTTACTACATCCATGGTGAGCTCCGTACATTTTATTTTCGTTGGCCAGCTTAACATAGCATTGTTTTCCCAAGAAAAGCTCTTAGAGACATTGGCTAAGGATAGCAAAAACATTCTTAAGTTTGAAGTAAGAATGTTTTTCATATCTTCCTCGATATTAAGTATGTAGGAGGTTCTAAAGCAGGATTTTATTGATCAAGAATCGAGATAGGAAGAGATCATTGTTCCTGTTTTTAGATGCTTGTATGGTGCAACATTATATAACTTGGCCTCATCTAATGGACATGATTGCATACTTGATGGAAAGAAGGCAAACAAATGCATCTGAAGTGTCAGAAATAGCATTTAGGGAGCTCACAAGGTAAAATAATATTTTCTGATTGCTTTACTTCAATCTTTTTTTGAAGGCATTAGAGCTGGGAAGAGATTATAGTCCACTTCCTTGTGATGGATGTAGAGATCATTGACTTAATACCATTGGAGATGATCAAGGATAAAATCATATGGAAGAGTAAAGTGTTATGTTGCATGGGAGTTGATTTTAACAGTTTTATTGTGTGTTTTCTTTATGTGGACGGCATTAAAAAAAAACATTAGTGGCCCCAAATGAAACTCCATCAGGTTTTTTTTTTGATAAACAATTGTAAATTTAAGAAAGCTATGCAACATAAATGGGAGCTTTGACAATGTGTTCACCTCTATGGAAGTTCAGAAACTATCCTAACACCAAAGGACTTGGGTTTCCCTTGGTATCCACTAAAATATGATGAGTATGGTTCATTGTGAACAATTGGAGAAGACATCTACTAAAAATTTTACTTTTCATCACATTTCTTAACAATCTCATCTAGAACACAAATCAAATGTTCCTCTCAAAATTTGTCTTTGGACATGTTGCAGCAGTGCATCGTGCCTGGCTCTCCAAGTTATCTGCAACATCGCTAGCATCACTGCAAGAATCTGGTGAGCCTGAACAATCCTTAGCCATGTAGTATATCCTTGATCTTTCAAAGAGTGCCTCTCGTGATGCCATGAGGAATGCAAACTTCCATTGTTCTAGTTATCCTTGATGTAATCCATCTGATCTTCATATGGCTAAACCTAGGCATTTATCTCAGTGCCTTCTTTACGTGTGCAGACACACAAACCATGGTTATACTCCAGTTCCAAAGGCTCGGGATGGAAGATATAGCTGAAGTGTTCTAGGTCTTGTCTCAAAGCTCCAATGATGTCCAAGCCCTTCCTGACCTCAAGCAAAGATGCCTGGAACTAGCACAACCCGTCCAGAGCATACACCGCTTGGGGGGATCCACCCCAGAAACCAAAGAGCTGCTAAACTGCAGTGAAGTTTTCAGGGCTGGTCATTAATCCAGTGGATGCATACATCAACATGGCATGCAAATGATCATCACATTGCCATTCTCTCTTGTGAACTTTCTCGAGCACAGCAAGCCTGCTAATGTGGTTTTTCAAATTTTAACACTTCCTATAAAATAAAATTATAACTAGTTTAGCATATACTTTGGGAATGGTTATACTAGTTCTTGATATTCTTCTAGCAAATACAAAGAATATTGCATGGATCACTGCAAAATTGTTACTAGATGAGTGATCTTGCAAACAGGTGGAATGGAGCCACTTGCATTGCTACTTGAAATCTATAACCTGGAAAGGTGTATATTCCATGAAGAGTGTGCAAGAGGTAGAGTCACTTCTTTGCTGAATTCTCCCATAATAAAAGAACTTCATGACTTGGGAAATTTCTGATGCAGGCCATTGAGTAAGCCGTGCCATCCTAAGAGTTGTATTGACAGGTATTTGTTCTGAGTGAGTTTGACACTAGAGACTCAGGCCAATTCCCCACATCCAAAATGTTGAGACAACAATGGAGTTATGGTGTATTGATAATAAATTCCATCCCTTTTTCTTTGTATGAAACAATTATCACTAGTTTGTGTAGTGTACTATAAGTTAGAGCCTTTGGGACTTTATTTATAAGGCATTATCTACTAGTTCAACATATATGATTCCCTTGGTTATAGTTCTGTTTTCTTACCATATAGGTACTCACAAGCATGTTTATTGCAATGAACAAGAAAGAGCCAACTACTATGCAGAGCCATTGTGAAGCATGGGAGGCCAAAACGTATGTGTTGTGATTGGGCAAGGAAGTTTAACAAGATCAAACTAGATCTAATGAATGTATAAGTGAAATTATTTTCTATATGGTTCATCAATGTAAGACTAGGTAAAAGGGCCTCTTTGAGAATGTGTGTGTTTGTTAAGATCCCCAATCATTGTGAGGGATATCAATGCTCCATTATGAGGAATGAAGACACAAGTGGGAAGGAAAAGGAAAGGACAAGGACAAAACAAAGATTGAAATCACATGCCCTAGTTTCATACCCTTCAACATTTTATATCACATCATCCAAGTTCTTAACAGTGTCTTATTGTGTGTGTTCTTAGTGAATTGGCCACTTATGAAGGGAGATATGGTGCAATGTGGCATGATACTTCAAGACTATGTTATGCATGGTGTGCACGGTCACACAGAGGCATAGCTACTGTCCTACACATGTGCCCACTTGAAAGTTCCAACCAAACAAGCATAAGCTACATTGCACTTATATACTCCTAATTTAAGATTCTCTAGTTTAATACCACTGCCAACATTGAAAGTCATTGAATTGCAAAACAGTGTCGTGTTCAAAAACCCCACCCCCTTACACATGGACAATAT